AGGTTGCCACTTCCCATTACAAGCCTTAAATTCCCCTATTTGCATGATTGCCTTGCTAGGAAGTCACAGGGGATCTGCTGTTCTGACATCAATTTATTTCTATACAACATTAGCACTATATGGCAGTAGGAATTTGTTTCAGATGAACAGTTTAATTTGTTTGTGTATGCAGTGCGTTGTCATGGATTTGGTACCTTCTGGGATGGCAAATGGTGTGCCGAGATTTGGCCAGATTATTGAATTGATGCTGGTATCACTAGAAATATTGGAGAGAGAGAGCGAGAGAGAGAGAGAGAGAGAGAGAGAGAGAGAGAGAGAGAAAGAGAGAGGAGAGACTGCATTGCCTTGCCAGGTTTACCAGTGTGTCTGGTCAATGGCCACCTCAGCAGACAGGGTGGGCCTACAATGTCTGGAAGACCTGATTCTTCTGATTGCAGTTACTTCTGCTATGGTAATAACTTTCCTTGCTTAGTCGATCAGTGTTGCTTATGCAACTGAGTATTTCTTCTTTTGAGGACTCTATAGAACTCATTTGGACTTTATATAAAATGTATCAAAACATGAAGCAGTGTTTCAATTCAGCTATTAGATCCCATTTTATATTTTACATGGCATGTGATACCATTACTGCTACATAATCAATCTATTATGCTACATATGAAACAATTTACTCAGTACTGCATTTCTGTAACTTGTATCAAAGTGGTTGTTTTGCACAGCAATTTATCAAAGCTGTTGGCAGTAGATTTTCATTTTGATGATAAACATTGCTTCTGCTTGTAACTCCTATTATGTTACTCTGTTTATGGAAGCACTTTTTGGAGTGGGGTTTCCATGTTGATACTAGACTCCATATTACATTTGTCATGTGAAATCTTTACTCCTGTATATAAATTGTGTTATTCTGCACAAGGAGCACTTTATTCCACACGTTCTCCCTCATTGTTTGCTTTCCAGAATTATTGGCTCTCCTTTATCAGCATATCAGTATTAATCTGTCCACATAAAAGTTTGGATTATTCAGGCCTTACCTTTAATAATATTATTTCACTTTTCATGAATTTGTGCAGCAACTGCAGCTGCTAAGTTGGGAATGCATCAGGCCTGCATACGGTGTCTGGGCAGATGGGTGTCTGCCAGATTTAAGCTGTATATCCATCCTGCTCTTTGCATTATTGCATGTCTCCCTTTTGTTATTGGTTCAAAAAAATAGTATAGTATAACTAGTCAGGCATTTATATGTTTTCTGGGCTCGCAAGTAACCCACAGGATGAATTGGTGCAGGGAATCTTGTTTTCCTCCTGTTGACATTAAAGTTCTGTAGTGATGTATAAGGAGTATGTATTGGGAGAAGCTGGTTATCGAGTATGCTATTTTGTTCTAAGTGTGGGTTGCACTCGAATTCCTTGTCATTCACCTAGAAGGGAATGATTGGGTGGGTTCACGTTCTTTGATCTTCTAGATAATATGAAACTCCTCTGTCTGCAATTAAGTTGCATTTGCCAACAATCTCTGTTATCTTGTCTGAACTGGTGCCAGGGTGGTTGTGTTTTTTTTCTAAGCCTGGGCTTCAGTTGATAGTAAGATATAATGTTTATTGATTTTTGTGTCATTCTATGCTCAGTGTTGGTGGCTTCTCGTTTCGCCATTGTGGACTGGAGGGTTTAAAAGGAGGTCTCTTTAGTAGGGTTTTAGTACCTTTTCTTAGATATCGGTATCACCATTCTGGGTGCTGGTTTGTAAAATATGATTGTCCAGGTCGCAGGGTTGGGTGGGGCCAGGTTGGTCACCTGGCTTTTGGGTAATGTCGCCCACTTTGTGGGAGGACAGTGGTTGGTAAACGGTAATTTGGTTGGTGTACTTTATTGCTGCTTGAGTCCTGATGACTAAGCATAGTAGTCTGTTGGTGGTTACCAGTAGTTCTGTTTGGTAATAAAGGTTAAAGTCTATTTATTGGTTAATATTGATTAAAACCCAATAAAGGGGCCGCGGCCTATAGTTTTCCCACAATCTTCATTGTGTTTTACTTTATTATTTAGGTTTATTGTTATGGTATGATGGGTGTTAATGGGGTGTACAATCCCATGTTAATCACAGAACAACATGTTATTGGATGTAAAAATATCAAGCTGCCTTTTACGTATCTGAAAATCAAATTCTATTGCTGATTTATTTTCCCTTAAAAACTGTAATTCAGAAGTACTACCGTGTACACAGACTGGAAATATAGATGAAGTCCACAATGATGTAAAGCTCAGAGGCGGCTTAAGGTAATCTGTGCTTAGCTTAGAGCTTGCATGAAATGACAGTGCTTGAAAGAAACTCTATTAGCTGCACATTTTTAATACAGATGGATGCAGCTTTATGAACAAAATAAGCTAAAATTCTGTCCCAGCTATAAAAAACATTCCAGTGAAAATGTTTGTGTAGTCTACTGCAACCAGAAAAACTCTACCTGTCATTTCTGATGCACATTGCAAAATGAAAATATGTCTATAATTGATTACAGTCATCTATAAGCCATTTTTCTTTACTACACTTCTAATCATTGAGAATCCAAGTGCAAACTATTAAACATCTTCATGTAGATCCTTGTTATGTGCCCTGAAACTGCTCTATATAACCAATACCACCTTACCCTCTTGTCTTGAATTGTATTGTGATTGTATGTCTTCCTTATATTGTAAAGCGCTGCTTTACAATCGCTTTACAAGGCGCTATATAAATCCTGTATAATAATACCCACAGCGTAGTGGATTATAAAATCACACATTCCAACTGCCTGTCTTGGTTAATTTATGCCAAAATCCTGCCAAAATATTTTAAGTTTTTGGCAGACTGGGGAGTGGTTAGAACTTGTCTCAGACTTTTATTATTGTCTGTGTCCCAATGGGGAGATTTCCTCTCACTTCCTCACACCCCAACATCCCCAAATAGCAACTTCAAACCTCCTGCATCTGACTACTGATCCATCACTACGAGGGGCAACATTATTGACCAACGAATGAATGAAGTAAATACAAGTTGCAATTTGCATATTTGAAATTTAGTGCTCCAGGGAAGTGTGAACATGCAAGCAGGCTCCTTAAACCCTATTGCTGTCAGAGCTGTTTTTGCGGGTTTTTTCACATGCATGTTAAAATGTACATTTTAGACCTGAAGATTGCTTAAAATCCCAAAATACTACGATTATTAAAAACCCAGAATTATATATTTCCTGAAAGCAGAGACACTGTAGAATAAAATGGTGGCAGTTGCAGTTTGTTATGCCGCAAGTGTTTTTCAAACCCAGATTTTCAGTAAAAAGTACAATCGAGTTAATTTTAGCGCACAAAAACAAAATACAATGCCCTTTTTTGTTGGTAAAACATTAAAGATACGGTGGTGCAGAGTAAATAGATACCAAACACGTCAAGCTTAAAAATTGCATGTGCCAGTGAAAAGGCGAAAAACTCCAGTACCCAAAATTGTTTATAGGCTATGCGTTGTTTGTGATGACAGGTCCTCTTTAGGGAAACATTAGGGGTTTATTCGATCCATAATATCACATTTGCACTTCAGTGAAGCTAATCAGGCTAAGATTGTGCTTGATCAGCTTCTTACCCAACCTCTGTGGCCACAGAATGACAGCTCAGAAACTGGATATGATGAAATTATTGTCGCTTCCGGGTTCATTCTGCAGGGAGTAGATCAGCAAATTGATTTATTCGCTGGTCCCCCTGCCCTCTCTCAGCCAATGCCTGCCACATCAAAGACAGTTGGCTTTACATATGTAAACAGACACATATAAACAGAGTCTGCTTACAGGACCCGCTTCCTCTGACAAACGGCATTTGTTGGCGGCAGCAAAGAGGTTATAAGGTCTTTGGTTTTACCATGTGGACTGTGAATAAATCTAGGCTTTGCACAGACTAATTTAAGCCAGTGGATTAAATTATGGATTTTCTTATTACAGAATTCTATATTTACAGTAATGCAAAAAAGTAAGTACACCACAAAAAATGGTTTACTTTTCCAATATATTTGAACAGGCAAACATTAGATCTTGAATTAATAGTGCCTGCAAATGAACTTGATCTACTTGACACATTAAACTGACGTGGTGTATTCATTTTTATGTTCTAAATAATGAAAATACACATTTGTTATAGGGAAAAAGTAAGCGCACAGCTACATTAATCACCAATTCAATACCATAAATTAGGATCAAGCGTTCAAGATTAAGTGATTCAAGATTCAAGATTAAGTGCCAATAGTTAGAACCTCCTTTGGGAGTCTGCTCTTATTTAAACCTCCGATTTTCAGTGCCTGGTGCTTTCTTTGCTATTGATATACTGTATGTGGTGTCACCATGCCAAGATCAATAGAGCCTTTGAGTCTGGCAATGGATTTACAAATCATATGAAATCAATCATTTCTCTGTCAGGAAAATAATCTACAAGAGGTGTGGAATTCAAACAGCTGCTTCATCACAGAATATTCAGGTAACTCTTGCAACACTTGGGGTTAAAATGCATACAATTACACTCACAAATTCAACCTGCATGAGAGGTGTGTTAAAAAAACATCTTTGTTGTTCAAAAAAAAACATTAGAGCAAGATTATGTTTGCCATTAAACATATAGGCAAAGATCAGGCCTCATGGAGCAATGTATTGAAGACAGATCAATCAAAGAACATCATATTACTTGTGGATCATGGTGGTAGGGGTTGGGGGGGGGGGGGTTGTTTACGGGAAGGTTATTTTCCTG